AAGGAAGATTTTTATGTCTTTTTATGTTATCATACTGCAGGCACTGCAGAAACATGACCAATTAATATGTTACTTCTTACATATAGTATCTTGTCCTGGGAAACCCCCTACATTTTCAAAAAGGATACTTCCTCACTTCTGTATCTCAGAAAAGTTTATGTGGGCCTACTGCTTCACAGGTATAAATGGAAATGTGCTCTGTCTTTTTGTTTGTGCATTTTTTTGGACACTTGTTCATTGTTGCAAAATTATTTCCACTTCTTCGTTGTTGCAACGTTATTTCTGCCTTACATCTCTTCCCTTCTGATGTTTAGACTGAGTTGTCCAAACACCTGTTGAGCATCATTATTGGAGGTAGAGTTGCACTTTGAATTACATAATATGTCAGCAGCATTGAATGCCTCTTAAAGAAGTTAATGGAACAAAATCTGTTTAATTAGATTGGAACTTTGAGAATTCAGCAGAAAAGATGCTGTATCATTCAGGTTGTAAACAGAATGCTGTTTCTAGCCTCCTTTGGAAACCAGGCTGCTAGGTACACTGTTATTCCTGGACCTCATCCTAAAGCTTTAATATTACTTAAATAGACCAGCCCAGTAAGTGCTGCTTTGTTATGAGTCTGTATGGAGTAAGTTTTTTGAGAAGCTAGCTCCTGAAGTACCTGTAAGGCAGTCCCACTTCCCATGATTCAGTAATTCTAAGCCAGCCGCTTTGCCTCCCAGCTGAATACGTGGGATGAGGAGCATTGTCATAGCAATAATACCTGCTGCATCTGACTCACTGCAGCTCCTACTGGAAGAAGTAATAAAATGTACATTTATTTGGGCCAGCAAGAGCTGCCACAGTATAATGAGGATTCACTTCCAAGTTCAGATTTTCTACTAATTTTCCTCAGCTTTTTGTATGTTTTGAGGACTGTGGGAGAATAACTTTAAATTATGATATCTGAGACTACCCATAGAAGCTGAAAAAGTCTGAGATCTATATTTGTGCTTTCAGGAATATTTCTTGATGGGAGTGTTGTATTGTCTGCACCACAGGAAAGAGAAAACAAAGCTGAGTATGTCTAGCTCCACTGCACAAATGAGAGCTGTGTGAGCAAACCCCTGTGCAGCACGCATTTACCCAATGAACCTTCTGCCTACAGACTCTGACAATCTTGGTAGAAATCGCTGTGGGGGAAAATTATCTGAAACATTACCATTTTCCTTACAGCTGCAGCTTTGCATCTTGAAACACTGACATTTCACCTGTAATTTAATCTCTATTATTAATGAATTGTGGAACCTTTTCCCTGGGCGCTAGACCATTAGACCGTGTATGGAATCTGTCAGCAAATATTACTAAACACCCATGTAGTCTTTCAGACACTCTAAAAATAAACAGCTTTACATACAAAAATAAATATGCAGCTTTTTCCCAAATTGGTAACATATAGTGACTGTCTAGATACTGCCTGGGCAACCAGCTGTAGGTGGCCCTGCTTGAGCAGGAGGGTTGGACTAGATGACCTCCAGAGGTCCCTTCCAACCTCAATCAGTGTGTAATTCTGTGATAGAATAATTGTCTTTCTTTACCCCGTTGTATTACGCAATGATACCTTTCAAAATTATGAATCTACCATGGTCAGCAAAGGTCACTGTCTTAAAAGGCTTCTTATGTAAATATCCTAAAGGAGCTTTTCAAATACTTATAATTAAGTTCTTCACCTTTGTCTTTGTGTGTACTAAATGATATTTTGTCCAAATAAGGAAATCTGTAGAATAACCTTTAATGACATCTTAAGGATGACATTGTTAGATTCAGGACAATTGCAGCATGCTAAAAATGTAAACAATCAAGTACAGGTAATAGTAGGCACTAAAAAGAAAGATTTTATAACACCATTTCAATTCCTTATCATATACAATGAATTCAACAAAAAGTGGTATTTCAGTCTGGGAGGATTTAAATGCCACCTTATTTAGTTTGTGAACAAAGAGCTTTTTCAGATTATCTGTTGTCTGTACGTAGAAAACGCAGCAGAATGGATGTGTTGTGCACAAATCATGGCAAAGCTGGTGCTGAGATCAGAGTAGATAAAGGGGTTAGTGTGACTACAGGCAAACAATGATTATTTATGGACTTCTGTGGGCTTTTTGTGCATTGCTAGAATGGGCAATGATTAGATCTGAACCCTAACAGGTACAGTTAATCTGTGTTTGGTTGTTAAACTCACTTAATAATAAGAAAGTGTTTTATCATAATAATGTGTTTTATCCTTCTTAAATCAAATTTCATTAAACATTATGTAACAGTCAAATAGTAAAATTAGATTTACGAGTTCCTCAAGCAGATATTCAAGACTGGTCACGTCTGTTACCAACAGAGAGTGAGATTTGACTTCTTTTTGTAAGAACTGTGCTACAGATATTACAGTCACTGATAACTTCAGAACACTATATAAAATCTGTTATCTTTGAGAATTTACAAATGAATACAAGGATTGCATTATTGATAGAATTTTTCAGAAGTTTTTTAGTCAGTTGGTTCTTTTTCAACATACTAGTTTAATCACACACTAGTGAGTCTGTTCTTTCACCAGTATACAAATTAGTTACCATGATGCTGGGTTTTATTAAGCCTACTAATTACATACTGATAAGATGCAGACAATACGGAGTTACGTAAAATCAAATCTAGCCAATAATCACTTGAATGATCAGCTCATCTTTGTGATATACTGCCTTAGTAATTAATATTTTAAAGAACCACTGCTAACTATTATTTTATCTAAAATCTTGTGACATGTCATAATAGTTCAATAATCAAATATATGCTTTTAGATACTATAGCCAGCCACAGCATTTATAGCTGTTCAAGCAAGACAAGTATGTACATTTAGCACTTGTGATTTAAGAAAAAGGAGAACCTGCACATATCAAGAAAATACAGCATTATAGGTGGTTCAATGCAACATAAGGTTTGGAGTAAGAAGTATTTAATGATTAATTACTGCAATTACAGTGTTCCTAGATAATATAGTAGTTCTTCTTATAATCATAAGGATATGTCCTCTGACATTACACAATAAACTGATCTGTGCAGGGTGATTCTGAGTATGTAAACTCAATCAATTTTTATGATGGCATCATCCCGTATGAAGACGAAACAAACCAGAGAACCTTTAGAGGCTACAAAAGAGCTTTCTTTTCCTATATTTTAAAATCCTGGCCTCTGCTGAGGTCAATGCCAATTTTGCCAACAGAAGCAAGATTTCCTTTCAAATGGAGAAAGCAGGAAGTTTTTGGCATCCTCCCCATGCGTCAGCTTTCTTCACTGATCCAAGGTTTTCTGAATTAAGTCCTAGAATGACTTATGTGCTGACAGTAGTCAAGACCAGGAATCTTTTTGCTCCATTTTAAAAGTGCTTAGCATATCTCTAAAATGGATTGCATTTGTTACCTCCTTTCCTTTTTTGCCTTTCCGTTGTGTATGATATACCTCAAAAAAGGTTTAGAGATCAGTCATCACAAACACTTTCCTATTCAAGAATGTTTGATTGCCACTAAGTCTGTCCACTGAGATCAGAAATGAGCCACACATCTGAATTCCCCTTAGGTGTTTGTAGCAATATGTTAGTCAGTGTAAGTTTTATAATAATAGGCTAAGTGGGGAGAGACACATCATTATGATACTGTGTAACAAGTTGTCAAGACAGGGGGATGGGCAAGTTTTATCTATAAATGGGACAAGCTGTGCTTTCTGCGTCAATTGAGTACAAGATCTGACACCTTGTCTGTCAAAATAACATTAATATTTTCAAAGAGGGAAGCTTTAGCCCTTCTGTTGAAGTATCACAAAATCAATGAGAGGTAAATATATTTTGAAAAGTATGATTGAATCTGTACTCCTCAAGGATGCCAAGAAAGAGATTGCTGTAAATGCAAACGTACTTTACTAGCCAAAGGTTCCCTCTGAGGAATGCAACCTGAGACATAAAGCATATGAAAATACAAAATTCCATATGAAGTAGGTCATGAAAAAGCCGAGTAAATCCCTGGCATACAAGAGCATATTCTAGGTTTGTTGGTTTTAAAATAAAATTAAATAAAAAGATAATTTCTGTTTGCTTCTGCCTTTTATGTTTAAAAAATGTCCATGTTACTTATAAATATTTAAAGTTTTTAAGGTTGATTTTAATATAACTGGCTAGTATCAAGGCATTTTTTGCTGTTTTTCATCCAAGAGTCTGACAAGTCTATAGAACAATGGCAGTATGAAAGAGCATTTTCCTTTCTCCTTAATGATGATTTTCAAAAGGGAGAGTGGGCCGAGACTGTATAGAAAAAAGAACAGACAGAAAGTTGTACATATTGGCAATATTGATTTTATGCCATATATGTAAATGTACAATTTCATAGTAATTTATCATCTTACCCATGGTCCATCTATGACCTACCAAAGTGCCAGCACTTTCCCCCAGTCCTAGCTATGGCTGATGGAAGCCAGTACTGTGATCTTTCTTCAAAATGTATGTTTCACTTCTGTTCTTCAGCAACTCTATATTCAGCAACTGTATTTTTTTTTTAACACCAGCCTCCTAAATCTTTAGTTCATAGGAAAGTTGAAAAAACAAGGAAGCTGTTGGCAGAGGCTTAGACAACCACTTGAACCATTTCAGATCATCTGCATTCAAATCAATTGCACGGAGCCACCAATTTTTCATAACACAGAACCTAACTCTTCTGGCTATAGGACATGTTGCACTAGAGATGGGAAAGGAATAATTTTGGAAGATGTACATTTAAGTTTGCAAAGTGTCTTGAGAAACACAGTTTGATGTTTTCTATAAACTTAAGCATGCACAAGTGTAGCAGATGCCTAACTTTGTGATTTCATGAATGCAGCCCTAATGAAATGTAGTCTTATGAGGGAAAGGGACTGTCCTGTCTGGGTGAATAAAAATTCCTTGTTTTGCTTCTATAATTAATTGCATTTTATTTTCATGAACATTTTAGGTGTATCAATACATGCATGAAACCATAACTGTAAATGGCTGCCCCGAATTCCGAGCCAGGGCCACTGCAAAGGTAGGATACGTGCAACTGTTGAAATATGTGTTAACCAAGTGACCTAGTAATTGACTGTGCGCGTGTGTGTTTCAGGTATTCGTGTGTACACTGTAAGAAAATTTAGACATCAGTGGCAGCCCAGAGTCTAGAACCAGTGCTACTTCCCAGGTAACAATCATAATGGAAAATTTCAACCTTTATGCTGCTTCTGTAGCTTAAGAAAAGAGAATGATTTTATGGAAATCTATGCTTTTTGAAAAGTTGCTTTGCCAAAGCAAATCTACTGGTTCATTCTGTAGAAGTCTGCCTGCAACAACTAATATTTTAATGAACTATTTTCCCATAAAGTTCATCCAGAGAGGATACAATAATTTGGGAGATGAAAACAAAACAGTCAAAATTCCACTTTAACTAATGGGAACTGTAGGTACTGAGCGAGCGGGAAGGATGAACATTGATAAAAATGGCCTGATCAAGAGACTCCACAGCCAATTGCAAGCTCTTTTTTTTTTTTTTTTTCTGATGCATTACCTGTTTTAATAAAGCATACTGTCTTTTTGTCCATGTGGACCTGCCTTTCTCATATCCTTAGACCATAACAGCTACATTACTGCTACTAATACAATGGTAATTTTCTTAAGGGAATTCACAGAACCATGAAAGAACCTTTTTATGTGCCAGTACAAAATACACCCTGTATTTTCATAACATGCACAAAAACAGATACATCCAAACAGAGAGGTCCACCGTGGCTTTCTTACTATTATTAGCATTTTGTACTTTACACTGTCTTCTGGGTTCTATAGCAGGTACTATCCAAAATAGATAAACCTACAAAAGCCATAAATATTTTCTAGAGACATTTATTTATCGTCCTACTCCTGTGAAGTTAGTCACAAAACTCCCTGTTATCTTAATTGAATGAAGATCTTACCATTATGTATTTGTGTTAAGAGATTTTCATTTAAAGCTGTATCAGAAGATAAAGGTTGGGAGTATGTTACAAAGTTATTTCTGCAGTATTTTAGAGAAGCAAGCTGGATAGTAGCTAGCAAATAATGTGCACTGAATTGCAGTGTATTTTTCTTACTAAGTAGAATGTTCCTTTCTGTAGACTCTTCCTGTGATTTTCACCCTCTTCTAATTGAAAGTTAATGGACAATGTGAATTTGTAAGGTTTATGCTACTATATAGAGATATGTGTATATGTGATCCCAATTTGTCTACACTTCAGATTAACATAGAAATTATTGCTGTGCTGTATAGTAAATGGGGAGAAATCCAATTAGTGTCTGCCATTCTCATTTCTTATTCATATAGAACAGCAGGGTTACAGAGCAATGTTTCAATATCGCAGTATTTCCTGGTTATTTCTGGGCTGTCTGCATTGCATTTTCCTAGTGCATTCATGTCTGACATAAAATGTATGCATGATGACAAGGTCTGCATGTGCAAATACATGTAACTGAGAATGATTCATTATGTCACATCATCCACTAGCTTCTATTAAGCGTAAGCATTGTTAGGATGCTTAAAAAACCTTAGTGTAATGTGGAATTGTTCAAGCAGTTTGGACTACAAACACATTTTGAAAAGCATAAAAGATTTTCTTCATGCTTATTTCATGATTTACCAGGATCTGTAAGTAGGAAAATACTTGTAGTGAAAATTAAGTGTAAGATGCAGTATGTTTCTGGATGCAAGCTTTACAGTTTGTTAAATGTTATAGGCTTTTTTGCCAGAGTAAGATGAACAGTCTAGGATTTTTCTAATTGATATATAAATCCATTGTCTTAAGATTTAATTTTCCAATAAAAGTTTTGATCCAATTATATTATAAAAAGTTATATTCCTGTTCCAGGAGTTACTTAGTTTGCAAGACTTCATAAAGATTGTGAAGTAATTTTAAAAAAATAAATTAATAATAACTTTTTCGGATATTTTTCTGTGCCCAAAAAATAAATTAAAAATTTCATACCTCTGAAAGAAGAGCAGAGAGTTCACAATTCAGTTCATCCGCTTTGTTTCAACTAGGAACACAGTAGAGATCACATTATCTTATCCCACAGTAATAGATTTTCTCCCTGTGAAAAGGCAAAACAGAAATGCACTAGTGATCAGAAGAGCTCACCACCACGCAGTCAGGCTTCCCAGTGCCTACTTCTGGCTCTGCTGCTGACTCTGCCTTATCTTTGACAAGGCACCAGAACTCTCTATTCCTCTGCTTATTCCTTTAATTTCAAAAGCATTGGCATGGAACTTAACTTTTTAAAAATGCTTCAGATGATCAGAAAAGGTCAGAATAAGATACTGAAATGTCTTCACAGGAATGAATTCTTCCTGCAAATGAATAAGAGTGTGTATCAGTGTTCTCCCTACAAAGCCAAATCACTCCTTTTTTTTTTTTTTTTTTTTTTTTTACAGGCAACAGTTGCTGCTTTTGCTGCAAGTGAAGGCCATTCACACCCGCGAGTGGTGGAGCTGCCAAAGACTGATGAAGGCCTGGGCTTTAATGTCATGGGAGGAAAGGAGCAAAATTCACCTATTTATATTTCTCGCATCATTCCCGGAGGAGTGGCAGAAAGGCATGGAGGGCTCAAACGGGGGGACCAGCTGCTTTCGGTTAATGGAGTGGTATGTGGAAATTTGATAGACCTTTCATTTTCATCTGGATTTGTGTTTTTCACAGCTGTTCTAATACTGTTGTTTAAAATGCAGCCATATGAAACAAAAAGAATGAGCTCTGTGAGGGACCTTCAGCATGCATTTGTGGTGCAATGAGGCAAAGCTGCATCGACAGTTTTGTGCCACTGCAACTTCTGTTGTGATGGAGGGTGCTTCAAAGTTTTATTTTCAGTCCACGCCACATGCTTAATTTACACAGAAGCTATGCCTTTCTTAATAGATCGTGCTACAAATTCCTTTTGCAGTAAAAGCATCATAACAGGCTTTATTGTTCTTCCAATTCTATAGCCTCTGAGGTGCACAGCCCCTTTCCAAGCATGGTGATGCCTCAGTGACACTTGTGCAGTCTTGTGACCTTCAGAGCATTTGAACACATAATAGCGAAGGAAATTTGGTAAGCACATTTAGTGCTAATTTGCATTGGAAGGTGCATTCCAGATCTCTTTCAGTGACATTTGTCCAGCTGTGATACTTGTCAGAGAAATGAGCTGTAAAAATGAACACATATAGGGAGCACATATTTTCAGTAAAAAGCTACATTTTATACACAGTCATTTCTCATGTAAGTCAATACTTCAGGGTGGAGTGTTGTACAGTAGTTTTACTGTGAATGTCAGCAGCGAGGTAAAAATTAAAAGACTCTTAGAGTAGAGGCAAAAAATGAGGCACTGCCTACATGATACGGGTCAAATTATGCCTTTCATTTTGCTTTTGTTCCCTTTTACAAGGGAACGTAAAATACTGAAAGGGTAAGCATACTCACTGATATAACCCTACACTTCTCTTAATGAAAACATAATACTTTTTCATGCAAAACCTCCATCTAAACTTTGCAGTTAAATACACCAAAAGCACGTAGGAGCCATTCCTGAATCCAGTCATAAATATAAGACTTTCCAACTTAAATTTCCTCTGTGTTGCAAACCCATCAAGAGTAAAAAAAAAAAAAGCTGTTTTCTACATGCTTTCATGTTGTTGTCTGTTTCTCTCAACAATAGCTATTCCCTTTCTCTTGAAATAAGATATCAGTATAACACTTCAGACAGACTTTTTTCCACTTCTTCCATCAGCCATCATGTTCTCAAAAGGGAAATAACAGTTCTGGAAGCTTACTTGCCCCCGTACACAATGAGAAAAAAAAAGATAGAAAATAAAAGGAAACCCACTGAAAAGATGATTTTGTCTCAGGGAAAAAGAAACCAATAAGTAAATTGCCTGAACTTCACTGATTGAAAGTAGATAAAATATTTGTGGTGGTGCTGTTGTTCAGCATGTCTGTCAACAAGTGAATAAAAAAGACAGATTAAAAGAGTTTGTATTTGCTAATTAGTGTTTGGTTCTTTTTTCTGTCAACAGTGTCTAGGCAAATACTGGGGAGGAAAGTGGTGAGCCTTAAGACATCATGATATACTGAATTTTACTGTTGTCAGCTCTATTTCATGATAGTTTGGACAAAGAAATTCATGAATGTGCTCTGGAATATGTCTTAAGCTAATGTAGCAAAAAAACCCACAATATAAACTTTTGATTTGCGTGTAGGCACCTGAGAAAGATGATTCCAAGATGTAACAGAAAAATCTTTAGTGTTCATAGTCTAAACAATAGAAATTGAAGATTGAATTGCAGTTGCATACTTGAAATTATGTCTTTGAGCAACTGTTCACACACCAATCTTCAGCTGAATTAAGCCCATACAATATAATTCTTAAAAAAGACAAAAATTATAGAAGTGGTAATTTGTTTGCAGACAGCTTGAAACAGGAGGAGAAAGGTCTAAATTTAACATTGTTCACTGAGACTAGTTCACTCTGTGCTTCTCTCAATTTAGCTGGAGGAAAGGAAGTAGTATACAGTATGTACAATACAACAGACGGCTCAGCAGTGGAACATGAAATGAAAATGAATTATCTGTAACTTGTTTGTGCCCAGAAGTTGGTGGTTATCCAACTTTATAATTATCAACATAAAATTAGAGCTGTGTGTTCAGAATCCAGATTTGTTACCCCAGCATGACTGTTCCTTGAGCTGTTTCACCGGATGTGAAAAAAAGTGTTTTCTCATTATGCTGGGGATTTTGTTACATACTTTTGTCCCACACCCCCTAAAAGTAGAGGAAATTGAAAGCAGCAAGCCTTGCAGATGGCTCCACAAAGGCATTTGCTGGTCATAGCTGGCAAGGATTCTGTTCTGCATTCGTCAGATACCTGGTGTGAGTCAGATGCAGAAAGAGATACAAAATAGGTTTATAATGGCTAATTTATTACCCAATCATTTGCTTACAGATATCGAATGGAAATACTCTTCTCAGTTTTGCAACTTGTAGGGTAACAATCAGCTTCTCTTTTTTTGTCTGCAAGGGGGTGAGATTTTTTTCTTTTATATTTATGACAAGTCTAAGGCCCTGGATGCAGTAATAGCTGGTGTTTCCCCATGCTGTATCTGCAATTTTTTCAGCTGTTCCAATACCTGAAGGGACCTGCCAGAAAGCTGAGGAGGACTTTTTACAAGGGCTTGTAGCAAGAGGACAAGAGGTAATGGCTAAAAACTGGAAGAGTGGATCAGATATAAGGAGGAAATTCTTCCACTGTGAGGGTGATGAGACACTAGAACATTTTGCCCAGAGAAACTTTGGAGGCCCCATGCCTGGAAGTGTTTAAGAGCAGGTTGGATGGGGCTTGGAGCAACCTGATCTAGTGGGAGGTGTCCCTGCACTTGCAGTGGGTTTGGAACTACATGATCTTTAAAGTTCCTTCCAACATGAACCATTCTAGGATTTTGTCATTCTTGTCTCTACACAGTATTTTGCATCTGCCAGTGCAATAAGAGAAATAGATGGAAGTATGTATAAAATAGATGCAATAAAAAATTACATAGTAAATAAAGACATACATTCTGAAACAAATTTATTAAATCCCATGTTTGGTGAGTGGTTCTAAAATAACATGGTTATCAGATCCTTGCAATGTCCCTGGCCAGTGTAACTCAGTCGGCAAAATCCTGTGTACCGACATGACCAATACCAACAGGAGTCCTTCACCAGCACAGCCTCAGAGTTTTGCAGAGGCAGAAGAATTGAAACAGCAAAACAATTTCCTTCACTGGTGTTAGTTCTTTTCCCTACTCCAAGGAGCTTCTGCTGTTTAAGTTGTCAGCTACTGCTGTGCAGGTGGAACGTTTGCAAAGCCTTGGAAATATGAGTGCAGGCAGCAATGGAGACGTGGAGAGCAAGTATAGCAATTGTATTAATAGCAGCTGAAAACTCTAGTTGTTAAGATCTGAGTTAGATATGTTTGGGGAGTAGGATTTGTATTTAGCAGTACTATCTTTTCCTTTGCCTTGCTTATTTTCCCCTCTTTGTTTATGGTTCAGAGCTTTAGGCTTTACTCTGTATCATTACTATTCAAGTCAATAGGAGTTTTCCATTGACCTGGATAACAACAAAGTCAAACCTGTCATTTCTAATTAGAAAATACCGGCTGTAAACTGGAAGAACAAGGCCAGAGACAAATGGGAAAGAAAACAGGCAATAATAAATTAAATACAGTTTACTAAGTTGTATGAAGTATTGAAGTACACCATCTTGTTATTCCCCTACAGGACAGATACAATCACAATTGCTTATACATGTCTGTTAAAACCATCCAACTCTTTGTAAGCAAATGAATATTTTGGCTACTTCATGTAGCTTGGGAGCTTACAATTTTTGTCCTTAGCCTGTTCTAAGTTCATACTATTCCACAGCAAAACTGATCACAACACTGAATAAATACACTGTTGTTTCCTCTGAATGTCCATGCCACATCATACTGACCACAATTCACAAGCAAAAAATGAAAAATAAAACAAGGTCAAATTTGGTACAGTTCCTCTTAAGGTGAGAACTGCGTTTACAGAAGCCAGTATCCAAGCAGTGAGTTACAAAAGATAGCTAGTTACAGTGTGTGTTACTTATGATTGCCTCTTCTAACACTAAGCAGTTATGGGGTAGGGGACACAGGGAAGAGGTTTTAATTTGTCTGTGACCTGTTCATTAAAGCAATTTCACAAAACACCCTGTGCATCTATAGCTTTTAAATTTAAGCTCTTTTTGGAGCACTGGATTAATTCACTGGTTCTTACACAAAACGATTTCGTCTTTTTCAAAAATTTGTAAGGAAACCTTTTTTTCTCCAAATTACTTCTAGGTAGCAGTGCTTGTTCAGCAGATTTATCCCAATCACAACTTCCAATAAAACTGGTCATCACAGATTATGAACTTTCTCAAAGATCTTTGAATAGGAGACCTACTGGAGAGATTTCATGAATGTGCAGTTCAAGAACATGAAGTAATTTATTTCAACAATCAGATGTCTATTTACATCAAGGTTTTTTCTCTTCCTGGCAATAATTTCAGTACCTGGCATGACATTCCTTATTTCTCCAAGTTGCATTAATGTTTTTGAAGCATTTTTACATTTCTGTAGAAACTCTTTGAGTCCAGTCAGTTGAATCACTCAAGGAATAATTACTTGTATTAATATGTTGAAGGATATGTAACAGGAGAAGGGAGATAAACCATAAGGCGATAATCTTGTGTTGTTTATATTATGTATGTAGAAGTGTATTGTGCCTGCTTTTTGAAACTTCTAAATCATTATTTCTAGCTCGTAGTATGTCACAGCAGAAGTAATCTTTATTCATTGTTCTTGCACAATGCTACTCAGTCAAACAGGAAAGATGGAAATAGAAGGAATTTTCTCCTGACAGTTATTATAATGATGCTAACGATCATTCTTTTAGCCTGAATTGAACTTCAGGTACTTCAAATGCTGCTGCTTCTCTTTGGACACCTATGGGTATAGTTTCATTTTAAATAGCCCAGTAAACTTACAAGTTTTAAAACACAGCATGTAGTAAACTTTGATTTCTTTTATGTGGGAAAAAAATGACTTATTTTTAGAATGTCTAAAATCAATGTGAAGATACCAGTTCTGCCATCTTTTTTTTTTTTTTCCTGTGCAGAGATACTTTTGTTTGTTGGAATATAACCTGCAACACACATGGGCAATCATACACCATTAGAAAAATTCTCCCTTTCTCTTAAGATGTGGAAACAATCCACATGCCTGAAAAGCACTCCAGTTAGTCTACTTAATGGTAGAAACTAAATACTCTTTTCACAGCCGAGTCACCTCCCCCATTTGGAAATTTACTGTTTCAAACAGTGTTAGCATAGAAATCAGAGCTTGAACCCCTTTGAGAACACTTTTGATTTCACAGCAGATATCATCTTACTGTCAACCATTTTCCACAAAGAGAGGGGAAGTATATGTTCCTCCAGCAGGAACATGCAACGTTTCAGTTAGTGCTTAATTGCTTACAACTAACCAGACAAAGACTAGTTTATTTCCAATAGAGAGCCCATGTCACACAAATGTTAAACATGTGACTAATGCCATTAACAAAGACATGGCTAGGCCCTGGGACCAGCAGGCACACTCCTTTGCTTGCAGCTCAGCAACTGATGGATCACCACATGGCATTCCCTGCGGGATCCAAACAGGGTCGGGGTGTAAGAAAGGAAAACTGCTATTTCAAACTTGCAATTTCTTCATTTCTTACCAACATTTAAGTATTTATTTTTGCACCTTGCAAATAGACTGTTCAGGTTTTTATTGCAGGGTTTTGAGGCTTTTTAACATTTAATTTTGTTTGCATAAAGCTTGTTGAATATTTCCCCTGCTTTTCACACGGATCAGAAATCAGGTTTGTCATGCAACCTAAAACAGATTTGTGTTATTTAAAATATTAAAATAAATACATTCCCAGCAGTGCATACATCTTACTGAAGTCAACACTTTACCTTAATAGTTCCTTGAAAAATGTAAGGTGTGGGAACTCCTAAAACCCCAGCAGCCCAGTGTGAAAAAAGGCACAGAGCTCTAGATCAAAGCAGCATATTCTCTGTTAAATCTGTTCTCCCTGCTCCCAGAGTGTGGAAGGAGAGCACCATGAGAAGGCGGTGGAGCTGCTAAAGGCGGCTAAGGACAGTGTCAAGCTGGTGGTGCGCTACACCCCCAAGGTGCTGGAGGAGATGGAGGCTCGCTTCGAAAAACTGAGGACAGCCCGGCGCCGGCAACAGCAGCAGTTGCTCATTCAGCAGCAGCAACAGCAGCAAACGACACAACAAAACCATATGTCGTAGGTGAGAGGATTCATTGGTCTTCCCACCTGGGCCAGCAGCTCCTGGGGTCCGGCAGGGCAGGGCCAGGTGCCAAGGCCTGTTCCAGCCCCAGCCAGGGGCAGGGCAGCTGGGGGGCACCAGGACAGCCCCAGCCCATCGGGCACCTCCCTGGGGATGGTGACTGGCTGAGCCCAGGCTGGGCCCTGCTCAGTGGGGCTCACGGCCAGGCAGAGCTGTGGGGAGCTGGATGCTGGCTCTGATGCAGCATCACAGCTGATGGCTCCAGAGGGCAGTGTGGGGTCCTTGGCTGTGGGGGGAGCAGAGAGAGCCCCAGGGAGCTGACGTGGGGTCTTGGGCTGCGGTGCCAGGGGGGGACTCTTGGAGTGCGAGTCAGGGCTGGTGGTGCCCTCAGGGCCCTGACAAGCACATGCTGCAGGGAGGATGATCAGAGCTCATTCTTTGGTACATACCCACACAGTCTGACCCAGTAAAAATGGATTTTGAAAACAGGTGAAAGACGCTAACAAATTCTTGATCCAATTTCCAACTAATAACCCTGAGATCAATAGCCACTAAGCAGCTCTGGCTTACCTGCAAACAAGACTGCATAGCAAGGCTGTACTTACTGGGAACATTTTTTAATTAAAAACCAGAGCATTTGTGACTGGAAAGAATATGCTACCAGATTTAGATAAAGTTTAATGTATTTTCAAATAGTCTGTTACAGCTTTTCAACAGAATATTGAGATTTGCTACTGGTATATAAAGAAAAGTCTCCCTAGTTCCTTCTCTGGTATAGGGAATGCAAACTTCACCCTGTGGTTCCTCTGCAGAGAAGCCACAAGTACTTGCTTCTCATCTCCAATTTGGTGGGAAGTATTTAACTCACTCCTGGCTGACATTCAATATCACAGTAGCTTCTGAGAGGCCTGCAAGTTTCCCAGTGTAGTCAAAACACAACGTACGAGGTACAGACATTCTCCACATTCGCAGTTTTTCTGAAATCAATGAGACTTTGTGACATAAATACATTAATACATATGCTCCTTTTGCCCAAATGAAGTAAGGTAGGAAGTGTGTCCCAATGACTTACACCCCAATCCTCTATGTGTCATACCAGGTGTTCGCAAAACAGGATTTTTGCAGCAGTAGAAGTCCACAAGTGACTCAAAGAGTTCCCAAATGCTCAGAAACTGAAGCTCCCAGTGATCATTTCATCATTACTGACACTGACCTCCATTGATATTTAGGGGAAAAAAACCCACCTTGTGGACCCCTTGTCCTGTGACCACCAGAAATGCAGTTTTGTTGATGGAAACAGACACTGAGTGGGATTGGAATACCATTTCAGGGCCTCAGTTCTGGTAGGAGGTATAAACAGTAGAATTTAATGAAGTAAGTTTTGGGTTTCTGTGTAAAATAGGACCATTGCAGGAGACAAATATACAAATGCTACAGTCTTGTGAACTTTTTCATTTTTCCAGTTGCCTAAGTCTTTTCATTAGCATGTAAGTTATTTTTACTGATCTTGATTTTTTCTTTAAATTGAAAGAGAAGAAAGGCAGGCAAAGACAAATAGCAACTTAATTCCTCAATTCCTTGTGCTTGGTGTGAGAAATGTGTTTCTTTCATTCTAGGTTATTCTCAAGAAAAAAAAAGCCTCGATCAAGAGTTCAGTAATCAAGCAGCCAGAGCTGTACTACTTCAGTATTCCAGCAAAAGGAAACAACTACAGGAAAAATAAAACAGAATTCATCTGGAGAATGTGCTGTACAAGAATAACATAGTTAAGACAAAAATAGGGAGGGCACCTTCATGATAAGACTTTTCAGCACATGGCAGTCACAAGTACCTAATACTACTGGGACTCTATTCCTAATGAGAACAGCATTGTAGGTAAACCCTATGAAACAGTGAAGTCCAGGGCTTCCAAATAATCATGTTTGATCTGATCTTGCACTCCTTACTCTCACAAATTGGCCAGTTGGCTTTCTCTAGGCAGTTAAAGTTTTGGTTTAAGGAGATCAAGATCGGTTGCTTTTGGGGACAGAATCTTTCTCTACAGTTATATCCAGAAATGAACAACTACATCAGTTCAAAATTTTTGCCACAGACATCAAACTCATACATCATGCTTCATAGCCACTTTGTACTCTATATTGTAGAGCTGTTTTAACCTAAATTCCTGTTTATAATTTTCAATTTTCCCTCTGGAAATAGCAATTTACTATATTTATAAAGTATTCCATTTGTAGAAGCAATTGGCTTTTTACTCTTGGTGTTTCCATATATTTTATTATACATCAACAAAGTGAGAAAGTTTTAGGTCAACTTTAATTTTCTTAGTAGTAAAGTTAGGGAATCCTAGAACTGTATTTTTAAACATAGATATTGCTTGTATCTATTATAGTTACTATTCCGAAATCTATAACTGGATATATTATATATTTATTCCATAAAATATATATTGTCTGAATGTACCTGTTAGAGAAGTAGGGTCTTTGCTTAGCATGTATTGCAAATGTAGTAAGTTAATGTTAGCAAAAGACCAAGCTTTGTTTGGCAGATATTACTGTGATAGCATAATCTCAGCTTTTCTGTATTCTTTAATTTATTTTCCAGTCTAATGTTAATATATTTTAGAGAGGAAGAAGTGTAAGATGTTTCTTTTTAAGACTTGCATGTTATCATTTGAATCAATTTGAAGTTAGAGTTCTGATTATTATTATTTTTTTAAATCAAACCAAATTGGAATGTGCAAACAGAATATATAACTAAGTTCTTAAGTTTACATGTTGGCTTTTCCAAAGAAAATAGTCAAAGCTGGAAGGCTACAGATGTCATCTACTTTCAAGAAAATAAGGAAATGAAACCCCCAAATTCTAAAAAAAATAATCATTTTGAGCACACCTTTTGTGCTTCATGAGTGAAGACAGAGAGGAAAGGAGCTTAGGGGAGATCCCTACAGTCCATGAATGTTGAAGATTCCAGCTGGTGTCAGTGAAAGTTTAGCAACGTGAGGAATGTAGAAATGGTCTGAACAAATGTTCTGGTTGTGAACTTGGAACAAGTCAGAAACAATTAATATTCTGAGGGATCTATTCTCAGAGAGAGGAAAAGTGGAACAGGGGAAACTAGCAGCATCATAGCATGTAAGAAACCAGATGTAGGCTTAGCCAACTGTCTTGACAGTGATTAGTGTAAGTAGCTATTGAAAGGAAATTACTGTATTTTTAAAACAAAACAGCATGAATTCATCCAGAGAAGCCGTATTTTATACAGAGAAGTAATTCTATCCAGTGGTCATTGGTGACAATATCAGTTAAGACAGTGGAGTTTGAGGACTACCAGAATTAAAGATGAAATACATTGTATTGTGCTCTGCACTACGTCTTTTTATACTTAATAAAATTGTATGTACCTATTTTAAAACTGTATTCTCAACCAGACACTGCTATTAATATTGATGGTATATAAATTGTTATTATGACTGCATATAACTCTTCTGTATGTTATCAGTATGATTTGAATTACACCAATAGTTGCATTTTCAGAAACCAAGCATCCAGAATTAGTCAGCCCACTGTACTGCATTTTTCCAAACCACTCTCCACCTCCTCTCCTCCTCTTCCTCAAAAAGTTTAGGTTTAATGGATTGGAATGTGCTGATTAGTAGATTTCAATAATAGAATGTCATTCATATAGGGAAGCATATAAAATTCATTTTCATATATTATTATCCAATAAATTATCTATAAACACTAAAATTAATATCCCAGTCTTTGCCAACATTTAAGCATGAGATTAAAGAAAATACAAGAAAAATACAATTACCAACAAATTTGAAATAGAAACAGGAAGAAATAACTTTTTAGGGGTTACTTTTCATGCCCCTTACTGATCGATAAAACATAGAGGCACTTAACCACAGAATAATCTGTGTCCCTACACCTATAATCTGCATTTTGTTGTAGACAGTATTTCATTTGCAATTTAAATGTCTTGATCCTGATGCAGTAAGGCACTTTCCTCACATTCATTGCTGAATTAGGACCTAAAAGAAGTGCAGGGAGGACAACACTTTCCACTTGCAGGTCTGGAGGTACTTGTGCATCATATTTTAACTGATTGGTGTCCTGGCATTTGCTGTTTCACTTACCCTGAACTCTTCAGTCAATTTAGTGAATTTTATTGCTCACATTTACCCTTGGGGCTCCCTCATGTTTCTTTGCACTGGCAGCACACTGAGATAGATGCAGCAAGTCCTTTCTCTCTATTACAATAACCAAAGGGATGCCATGGGATTTTACAAGTTCTTGCACCATGTTCACTTATGCCACAGACCCAGATGTAAGATTTAATAGTAAATAGCAATTCAGGGCTGGTGGCATTTACTTACTGAAATTGATGGATCTGCTGTACCAGCCATAGTTTTTCTGTTTGTGACATCTACTCTGGCTGGCACTTTATAGGGGATTGAAGGATTTTATAGCCCTTGATAGAGTGAAAAGCTCACAGGGTTGCCTTTTCATTTTTTTCCTTCTACAGTGAAAAATCATAGATGAAAGGTCAATGAATGCCTGTGAGTGGAAGAAATTACATAAAAATCTACCTGCAGTTCCCTGGTGAATAATACTGCAGACCTTTTAGTCCTATACATCAAACCTTTTATATACATTTATCACAGCCAGGCTTCCAATCTGACTTAGGAACTTTTGGGAACTCTTGTAGAAGGCACAAGATTATATTGCACAATTTCAGGAGAAGAAACTGTTTATTCACCTACTAACTTCAGGAATTTAGAGTTCTAAATTAAATTAAAATCTCATGAGCAAACAAAGGTCATAGAATTAAAAAAAAAGTTAAACAAGAAGGGTGGTTTTGCCTGTGTTTGAAATAGTACAGGATTTTATGCATAATTTCAGACTTTAGAATAGTTATTATTCTTGTGATAGATTTATTTATCACAGGATGAGAGACTGTTCCAGAAAGTAGCAGTTATTTCTGAATCTTTCTGAAAA